GTGTCCTTTTCACAAGGGAACCAAAAGAAAAATCGATAGGGGCCCAATTTAAACACTTGCCTTCTTTTGTACGGCCTCTATTGTAGGACCTGTTGAAGGGGTTCTGACAAACGTGCTTTGCGCCAAGGGACAATATCTGTGGCATTGGAAAGGAGCCAAGGAAAATGTTAGCCAAAGGGTCCGACTGCAACCTGTTGGAAAAGAATCGTTTTTTCCCCAAGCCAACTAGGTCCCCGAGTACCCTTTTTTTGCGGGAGGGTTCCCCTACTAAAATAGGCTACAGAAAAAGGGTACTTATTCTAACCTCTTTGCTTGAGGACCTAGCCAAAGTTTCTAACTTAGGGTCCTTGCCTGCCAAGGCTTGGCCGAAGGCGGCCGCTGCGGGGCCCCATGCTCCACGCCATGCGGGTGGCAGGCAACACTCCCGTGCAGGGCAGCGCCGCTGACGTCGTGCTCAGCGCCATGTGTTTGATCGAAGAAGCAAAGCTGAAGCAGCTGGGCTACCACATGGTGCTACAAATTCATGACGAGCTGATCCTTGAAGGCCTGATGTGTTTGTTTGGGAAGGTTCAAGCGATTTGAATCGAGCCATGGGTAAAATCAAGCAGCCCTTTGTTTGACCTTTTGTTTTTGTGGGGGTGCCTTGTTCAAACCACGGTTTTCAGACCCCATGCCTACACAATGCCTATATTACGTTTATTCCGAGGTGTACTTACCCGGGGCTTTGAAGCCGATTTCGCACAGGACCCGAAGAGAACGCCGACGAAGCCCTGCAGGAGTTGATCCGCATCATGGAGGACCCATTGCCCATGGAGCTGCGGGTGCCTTTGCGCGTGGACGCCTGCTGTGTACAGAACTGGCATGATGCCAAGTCCTAGGCCCAAAACAACTCTTGCGAAGAAGCGCGTTAGCACGGGACAAAAACACGGGAGGCGTGGAAGTCCTAAATGCTTTTAACAGAGGCAGCAAGACCTCGGGAGTGTGGTAATTACCGCAAGCTTCGATTTCAGTGGGTTTAATTGATGTGCAAAGTTCAAGCGCGTGGGTTGAAAAAGTCTCCGAGTCGAGCCGTGCAGCGTGCAGCTCCTTTTTCATGCTCTGAGTTTCAAAGCAGATTCAGATCCTCAGTCCCTTGAAGGCAAAGGCTGCCTGCTTGGAAGCAAACGGAATGCAAGGCAGACGTAGCCATAGCGCTGGAGAACTTGCCCCACAGGATTAAACAATCAAAGAATCAAAGGTTCAACTCTTGGACATGTCTAAAGCCACACTCCACTGGAAAGTCAACATGTCATATCAGTCAGATTTTGGGCAACTCGACAGCAAGCTCCGCATTGAAATGCTGGAGGGCTGATCAACTGCGCCCCGAAGCTAGGAAGCTTGCCTGAGCAACCGGTTTGGTGAGAACAAGTAATGCACTTCGCCCGTTGCTTTCAACAGAGACAATAGAGAGATCCCGGAAACTGTTCAGCATGCATGCAGACAGAGAAATGCCGTAATGCCGAAACGCAAGGTGCAACGCGACTGCCATTGAGCTATTCAGGTTGTTGACTGTCGTTCAGTGCGCCGCCATGAGACAGTCCGTAACTGTGAATTTGTCCCAAAGGAGTCTATGAGGGAATGGGTAATTGTTGGCAATGTTTGCAGACCCTTTCTTTGGTGCATCTTGCTTGGATGTTAGGACTTTAACTTTTTGCCAACTAATGGGTTTTCCCATTACACCGCTAAAAGTTAAACTTTTAGCAGGGGAGCAGAAAGCAACCGAGCTTTGTTGAAACACCCGGCCAAGCTTTGTTCCCCACATGTTTTGCCAATTTGCCCCTCCCATGTCCGAATGTGTCTCTCGAGCAAATGCCAAACACGCATCCATTTCGTTCCTACGTGGTGTAAATGGAATGTCATGCATGTGCCATGGTCAGATCGATTCCTCGACTTGGTTGGATGGTCAAACCCTGGAGATTTTTGACAACTAATATGATGCTTCCGGAAAAAACAAAGAGAATGACTAAGCTCCCACAAGGAGTTTGACTGTACATACAAACCTTGATAGCCATGTGGCTGTGGATCATGACAAACCGTCCTCGGGGTTTAGGATGAACGGCCGCAACATTTTCGGCTTATAGCTCGTGCTGTTTGGATGGCAGGGCCGCTCTGCCTGCGCTGTGGCCGTTGGAGTCCGGAGTCTCCTGCGTCGGGAGGCGGGCTCTGCGGCCTGTGCAGAGCGGCCCTTTTTGTGGACGGGGTCGCCACTGATCCCCGTCTCACTCCGGCGCTCCACTTCCACGTGGAGTACGCCTTGAAGCGGGTGGTCGGTGAGGTCGCCCCTTCTTGGCCCCCTCCAGGCCGGAGGGAAGGGTCCGAAGCCAGCTCCTGAGTCGGGAGCTGAGGGCCGTAAGAGGTCAAGAGAGGCGAGCAGTGAGGAGCCTCTCAGACGCAAGAAGGCAAGAAGGACAAGTCCAAGAAGGAGATGAAGGAGGCTAAGGCTGTCAAGAGTGGCAAGGAGCTCAAGCAGCGCCCTCTGTCAAGAGGGCGGTCCCCTAGGTCTTCGGCCAAGGAGCCGGGAGTCTCGGAGAAGAGGCTGGCAGTAAAGGAGGAGTCCTACGAGTGCACCAGCGTCTCCCCCGACCTGGAGGCGGTTTCTTCTTCCTGGCGGCCTAGCCTCTCCAGAGGGGAGAGGACTGCAGAGCGGGTGGGATCCCGCCTGGCCCCACGCTCTCCGGATTATCCTCCGAAACCGCATCCCACAGACCTCAGGGGGAACCCCCGGTCCTGGAAAGAGATCAGAGAGTGGGAAAAGGCTCGAGGCATTCGGAGAAAGAAAGCCAACAAGGGCCGAAAGCACCGAGAAAGGCAGGAAGAAAGAAAGCTGAGGCCTCGGCGTGACTCCTCGGAGGATCCCGGAGACCTTGCAGAGGAAAGACCTGAGCTACATGCCCCCGAAGATCCGGAAGAGGCCGGCAGCGAGGGAAGAGAGTGGGCCCCGGAGCCTACTCAGGCGGCCATCTGCGCTGGTGGCTGATACAGCAGGGACATGGATGCCAATTGCAGAGGCAGACGAGTCTCTCCTGGTTTTGGGAGGGAAGTTTTGGGCCCAGGGGTATCACCTGGGCAGAGATGTGGAGATCGTGTTGAAGGCCAAGGCAAAGATGGAGGACGAGCTGGGCCGGTGGTCGAAGGTGCAGCTGTGTGGCACTCCCGACGCAGGCCTCAGGGAGTGGGGTCTCAAGAGCCAGAGATTATTTATATCTCTGAGGATGATTCCGCGAGACCAACACCTGCGGGACGAAGAGCTCTTTTACACGACCCAGGTGAAGGAGGTGGACCCGGAGTTGGAATGGAAGAGCAATTGCCTCCCCGAGCCGACTACCCCCATCAGAGTTTGGGGGAACTGGGAGGCGTGGCGGAATTGGCAGAGGAGATGGGTTTTGGCTCTCCAGTGCGAGGGCGCCGAGCGGGACGTGCCCAGGAGACGGAGGGCACAGCTTTGCCTCCCGCTGCTCCCAGGAATTTCCCCGTGGACGGGAGAGAGTTGTCTTACTCTCCGCAGAGAGCAGACAAAGGGGAGAAAGAAAAAGGCCGAGAAGCCTTCCGCATACGCGGGTGTTCAAGCGAGTGCAGGAGGTCAACCCAAACCTTAGAGAAGCCCAATTGCTTGCGTGAAAACCGCATCTGCATGTCTGACAGTACAGCCAAAGAGTCCTGAATATAGATCCTGACTGTCCGTTCAGCGGACCAGCGACCAGCTTGGCAGACTTGTGAGTAGCTTTTAGTGGTTATAAAGAGGTGAGTGGCACCACCTCTCCTGAGACTGTACGGTTTAAACCGGCAGTTTGTAAAACCACACGCGACACAAGCACCCTGGAAGGCTGCACGAAAAGCATGCGGGCGCAAATCCACCAAAAATCGTCCGGGCGAGCACGCAAAAGCCACGCTCTGAGCAACATGGAAACCTCCAGGTTCTCCAACGTTGTTGCATCAGCTCCCGCATTACGATACGACATTTTAGTCGAACCCAGGTGGAGCACAATGGACGATGACTTCCCGACATTTATATGCTTAGCTTGCAGCTGCAGAAGCTCCCCTGTGCGAAGAAGTGCCGAGAAAGCCACCTGCAAGGCCAAAGCCAGCTGTCGTTTAGATCCCTGTAGATAACCACACGACTGTCGCCTTCCTCCCAGAGTGATATACTGCCCTAACTGCGCATCGAAGGCTGTTTTTGTTTTTTGTTGCAGGACCAACCGAAGCTTTCTTGAAGAAGACCTCCCCTTATTGGTGACAAGGAGACCATTGAGTCCGTCAGGTGAAGGAACCGGTGGCCCAGCCTCTGCTGCTTCTGGATTCGCCACTTCAAAGCCGTGAAAAGGGCCCGTAGCTCAAGCTTGTTGACGTGCTCGGGCCGCCCAGGAGTGCTCCTCCACCGCCAACCACAGACGGTTTTCCATCCCCACAACCCAGCGGGGACCGAAGACCTAAGGCGTTGAAACTTTGGAACACACATGGTGGGGGGCGGTCAGCAAGACGTCGGTTCCGCGTGCTGACACCAGCGTTGCCAATTTCTGCACCAGTAACCCCTCACGCTCCGCGTCGGAGACCACACTTGAACGCTGTGTCCAAGCGCGTCTCCACCCCTTCCTGGCTGACATCTCTCCACCACCTCCCGAAGGGAGACGTGGGGGATAAACCCCTGATCTTCCAACAAGCTCTTCAAAAGCATGTTTCCCAACATTGTAAGGCGCTTGTTCTCCCAGTCTCCTCTTTTTGCCTTCCTCTCATGCTTCGCCATGCACAGAGAGGTGTACTCCAAAGGAAAACCTAAAATCACCTCTCGCTCCTCCACTGAAGGGAGGCTCCAGCCTTTTTTCAGATGGTGCACCCCATGTAAACGCGTTCAACTTGCGATCTGGCGGGCCCGCCAACGCCCATCCAGGCTCAAGATAGCGCGAGGCTTTAACACTGACCTCAAAACGGACCTCGCCGTCTTCACTTCGGATGGCCCAATTGAACCACCACAACCGAGGCCGCCTCGCGAGTGAGCAGTGCTTGGCATCGACCAAATACGGAAGAACCTCGATGGAAGTAGAGTAAGCTGCATCCTCCCAGCTCATTGAGAACACACTTTCCATCAAGAAGAACACCTTGGCCCAACTGAAGACACTCCTCACCAGGTCAATGATACGCTTGACGTGAGAATGCAAAGAGGGCCTCAGATCCTCCACGCTCCTTTGCGCCCAAAATTCAAGCCGGACACACCCTGGCAAGGGGGTCCCCCTCCTATAATGACCAAGTGAACGCGGGAGAAAAGTCACCTCCTCAACAGAGGAGAGCTGCAGGACATCAGCAAAGTTCGCTTCCACCACTCTACGTCCGATTCTACAGCGATGTAGCCCCCAACTGGGGCCTGCAAGACATCCAGCGCCACCCTCAAGGCACCTATGCCATCAAAAAGACCAATCCCCAAAACCTGACAGTCATCAGGGAGCTCAGAGGTGAGAACCTCTCACTACGGCCTCAACTGCTGCAGCCCCCATGGGCTTGAGCCCCGTAGACATAACCACCACCCGTCTCAGAGGCGTCCGAGGCCGTCACCACAGAGTCAAAAGGAAGATGGAAATTGGTCACTGCTAGCGGAAGTAGACTCATCCAAAGCCACAGCTCAATCTTGACTTCCAAGGGGATAGGTTTCCACAGCCCTGTTTTCCCTTCGAAAGAAGAGATGAAAACCCAGATCTGGTTGAGGCACGACATCAGGGGTCGCCTGTAACTAAAAAGGTAAACCAACCCCCCGGCGACAATTTGCAACCTCTTGAGAGAGGTCCTCTTGGACCTTAGGAGGAAAAGTCCTCCCTGAACATATCGAGCGGTTTTCTCGTCCTTTGCCCGGATAGACCCTTCAACCCCATCAAACAATGCACCCTGCATCTCAGCTTGAACTCCTCATAAACTGAACGCAGTGCCAGGCTCGCCCCATTTGGCCGCCCCTCCAAAAGTGCCGCAGCGGAAGGGTTCACCTTTTGCAAAGTATCCAAGTTGTCCAAGTAGACCCTGTAAAACAAAGGGGAGCGAGGAACCGCCTTGTCACGTCTGAGCTCCGTCTCTCGACCCACACCTGCCAGCTCCATCGCCCTCGTGACCAGTCCTCGATGCAGGTGCTGAGCAATACTCACACTGTTGATGAAGCCCATTGGGAGCACTGTAGCAGACAGCACATGTGGCCTCCTATCCCCACCCGGATTAAGGGAGGCCGGTATAGCCTTATTGAAACAAAGAAACGGCCTCCAAACCTCAGGAAGGCCTACCACATAGAACATCGCCTTGATATCCTCACTCGAGATGAGGACATGTTCACCCTCTCTAACCTCCAAAGGCGCCATCTGCGATAAGAGGGGCAACGTTGCTAAGTCACCTTGCAACGGCTCAAAAAGAAGATTTGCCGGGCGGAGGCCACGCCCCCGACAACCTCATGCTTCGGCACCCCAAAAAGCCCACCAAGAAGGGGTTCCCCTTCAACCTTGTGGGCTTCGACCCACCAAGAAGGGGTTCCCCTTCAACCTTGTAGGCTTCCTCCAGGGGCCAAGGGGTACAGATGCCCCTTTCAATCAAACCTTGGGCAACCTGCCCCCAATCTTCCTCCCCAACCCTGACCTTGGGATGTTTCAGCCACTTCCGGGAACCTTGTGGCTTCAAGTACTTGTGGGGGGATTCGAGGAAGTCTTTGACTTCCCCTGAACACACTTCAAGTGCGTCTACGACTCCTGCACTGCCTTTGGCGGGCAGGGAATGTGCTAGGTTGGCCCACCCCAAATTCTGCGCGACGTGTACTTCCATCCCGTAGGAATTAACAACCTTAGCATTCCAAAAATCCTCCTCCCCTTCGGGGTTAGGTAGTGGAACCTTACTCCACCTACCAACACAGGAAATGGACTCCCAAAGATGCCGCAGTACTTTTTGCGCAGTGCCCTCATGAAAGGGACCATGGTTGACCCCCTTTGAAGGGCTGTGGTGTTTGTTTTGGTGTTGGTGTGGTTGCTTCTTGTTTTCTTTTCTGTTTCCTTGATGGAACATGGATCCCGGATCGCAATCAGGGAGGTTATTTCTCCCTCTTTTTCTTGCCAGGGCCAAGCCTGGAATGGCTACGAGTGTTTCCTGGCATGCTTGCTTGCGGTGAAAATTGAAGGCCGTGCATCTTTGACAAACCGTCCTCGGGGTTTAGGATGAACGGCCGCAACATTTTCGGCTTATAGCTCGTGCTGTTTGGCCCACCCACCCTCACCTGTCTGCGGAAGGGACCATGGTTGACCCCCTTTGGGGGGCTGTGGTGTTTGTTTTGGTGTTGGTGTGGTTGCTTCCTGTTTTCTTTTCTGCTTCCTTGATGGAATCATGGATCCCGGATCGCGATCAGGGAGGTTATTTCTCCCTCTTTTTCTTGCCAGGGTCAAGCCTGGAATGGCTACGAGTGTTTGCTGGCATGGGTTTTTTGTACCAACTACTTGCTTGCGGTGAAATTGAAGGCCGTGCATCCTAAAATAAGTACCCCAAATGGAACCCTGGCAAGTGGAAACATGAGCCAAATCCTGCGGTTTTCTGGTGGCTTAATTTCGACCCATACCCATGTTAGAATCAACATGGTTAAAACGCAAACGAACGATTGAAACGAGATTCCCCCGCCGAGGCGTGCGCCACATCTAGCTCTGCTAGAGAAGCAGCAGCGCGAGGCGGCCAATCCCTGGGATGCTATTTGCAAGGCGCACCTGCGAAGTTTTCGGGTAGCTGGCCATTTGGGCGTTCTAAGTTCTAGCTATTTTTTGGAAATAAGACCACCCCTTGGTGTGATTTTGCAGGGAAGCCAAACAGACACCACCTGCTTGAGGCTTATTTTAAGACACGCAAGTTTTGTTTGTGAACATTTTGGCCCCTCGAGCCTTGCTTCCAGCGCAGCGAGCTCATGTGTCATATGAGTGTGGCTCAAAATTTAGGAGCTAGGGTTACGCAGGTTTTGGGCTCTGGTTCTATTTACCAACCTGGAGTTCTGATCGTACCGTTTTTTTGGCTGCAGCCGTTTTTTGGCTGCTGTCTACTTTTTTGGTGCGCGTGTTTTTGGTCGTAGGACGTTTTTGGCTTGAGGCCTCTTTTTTTTGGCTGTGCACGTGGGTGTGCTCAAACTTAATCTTTAACCTCTCCTTCCTGGCGTAAACTGTGTTTTTGTCACTGGTTTGTGCGCAGGTGCGTTCCTGTGCTGACGGGCGCGCGTGCGTTCCTGCTGTTTTTTTTAACGGTTTTGTTTGTTTGTCTGCGCGTGCGTAAATTTGCATTGAATTGTGTGTATGTGTTTTGTTTGCTTGTGTTGTTTGTGTTGTGTGTGTGTGTGTTTGTTTGTTTGTTTTGTTTGTTTGTCTGTTTGCTTGTTTGTTTGTATTGGTTGTTTATTAAATTTGTTTGTTTGTTTGTGTGCATGTTTGTGTTTGTGTGTTTGTGTGTTTGTTTGTTTGTTTGTTTGTGTGTTAATTTGTGTTGTGTGTTTGTGTGTTTGTGTGTTAACACGTTTGTTTGTTTGTTTGTTTGTTATTGTTTGTTTGTTTTGTTTGTTTGTTTGTTTGTTGGGTTGTATTGTATGTTTATTAAATTTGTTTGTTTGTGTGCATGTTTGTGTTTGTTTGTTTGTGTGTTTGTTTGTTTGTTTGTTTGTGTGTTAATTTGTGTGTTTGCGTGTTTGTTTGTTTGTTTGTTTGTTTGATATCAGATTGATTGTTTGTTTGTATTTTGGTTGTGTGTGTTTGTTTGTTTGTTTGGTTGGTTTGTTTGTTTGTTTAAACAAATTGTGTTTGTATTTTTGGTATTTTGTGAGTTTGTTTGTTAGTTTGTGTGTTTGTTTGTTTGTTTGTTTGTTTGGTGGTGTGTTTGTTTGGTTTGTTTGTTTGTTTGTTTGTTTGTTTGTTTGGTTGTGTGTGTTTGGTTGTGTGTGTTTGTTTGTTTGTGTGTTTGTTTGTTTGGTTGTGTGTTGTTGTTTGTTTGTTTGTTTGTTTGTTTGTTTGTTTGTTTGTTTGTTTGTTTGTTTGTTTGTTTGTTTGGTTGTTTGTTTGTGTTTGTGTGTTTGTGTGTGTTTGTTTGTTTGTTTGTGTGTTAATTTGTGTGTTTCTGTGTTTGTTTGTTTGTTTGTTTGTTTGTTTGTTTGTTTGTTTGTTTGCGTGTCTGTTTGCTAGTTTGTTTGTTTGTGTGTGTTTGTTTGCTTGGTTGTGTGGTTTTGTGTGTTTGTGTGTTCGTGTGTGTGCGTGTGCGTTTGTTTGCTTGGTTGTGTGTGTTTGTGTGTTTGTGTGTGTGTGTGTTTGTTTGCTTGGTGTGTCTGTGTTTTTTGGGTTTGCTTGCTTTGTCCCTTTTGCGTGGTTGTTGCATTTCTGTTGTGTGAATTTGTGTCGCTGTTTGTGGCATGTGTTTGTTCCTTTGGTGTGTCTCTGTGTGTTTTTGTTTCTTCCTTGTATTATTTGCGTGTTTTCGCCCGCGCGAGCTAGTGTATGTATTTGTTTGTGTGCATGCAGGCTCGTTGCCTGCGTACGGTTCGCTTGATGGCTTGGCGAGCTTGCTAACGCAAGTTTCCTTTATTGCTATTGATTGCTTAACTGCAATATAACTTTTGCTATTTGCTATTGCTATTGCTTGCTTGCACGCTTATCATCAATGTTGCTTTGCGTGGATGGAAACGGTCATGCAGACGTGCAGTTGGCAAATCAAAACAATTAGTTGCACACAGATGTGACATGTATTAATGCCCGTACTCGTGGCGCGTGGCTCAACATTGAACAACGCATTTACATTAAAAAACAACACCATGTGCAAGACCCTTCTGATTCGAGTAAGGCCATGCTTCGCGGTTGCAAGGTTCAGGCCACTGTACGTTAATCTTTGTCAGTGCATGCTGCATGCATGAATGCAGCACGCAGGGTTTGACACGTCTGGCGCGCCATGGCAGAGCGGATCTCGAATGAGCCATGGGTGACCAAGCTTGTGGCTGCGTGGAAGGAGGTGGTTCCTGAGGGCACCAAGCAGGAGCGCTTGTACTGCAAGCAGGCGCATGCAATCGCTACACATGTGCTCTCGCGAATCCGGCCAGGACGAACTGCTGAAGGGCATCAGCGACAACATGGTGCTCAACAGCGAGACGGAGGATGGCATCAAGCTCAAGGAGGACTTGTGCAAGCAGAATGCAAACCTGGTGGCTGCGAGCCGTGTTGGAAAGTCAGTTTTTGTGTTTATGGAATCTGAGTACCGATCCGACAATGGTATTTTTAGGGGACAGTAAACTTCACGTATCCTCGCATGCACTTGCGCTTGCGGCCAAGGACAATTCCGGTTTGCGAGGAGGCAGGTTTCGTCTTCAGTTTGGACGTGCTGCAGGCAGCGGTGCTCACGCTGTTTCAGGACTGCTTGCACGCGCATCTGGGTTGACTGTTCGGGAATCCGATGTACATGTCATGGCCATTTCACGCAAAATTTAAATTTGCTTGTTGTTCAAGTGCAGCGATACGTTTGGGCCCAGGGAATATTTGGCAGATGTGTGAGTTTTGGCAATGAGAACCGTTCTTCACCTGAATTATAAGCCATTTGTGGCTCAACATTTTGTGGCAGTGCTTGCCTTTGGCCGGCCATGTCTGCTTGGCTGGCGATGGCAAGTGAGAAGCCTGCAGAACCTGCGACAGCCACGGGTCGAAGGACTGTGGCACATGTGAAAGACCCCTACATCAGGTTCTTGCAGGCCGGATCCTGACAATCACTTGCGCTTGCTTACGTCTATTAAGCAGGGAATATGTGACCAGTAATTTGCAGTTGGTTTAAGGCGGCCTGTCTCCACAAATAAGTGTCATCACCCTGTTCATGAGAGGCCCAGAGCGTCAAGCTCGAGGCGCTGTTGGCGCCCGGCAAGGCGGAAGCTCAGAGCGTCAAGGCTCAAAGCAACAAGGCGGCGAGCAGTGGGGCAAGGAGAGTCAGAGCAACAAGGCGATGATGCGGCCGCGCATCAAGGAGGGACAGAGCAACAAGATCGGGGCGGCGCACGCCAAGGACATGGTGGAGGCTCAGATCGTCACGGAGGCCATGGGGGCGCTTACGGTGGGTGGCGTCAACAAGGCGGCGATCGGGGCGGCGCTCGGCAAGGACAAGGCTCAAAGCAACAAGGCGGCGAGTGGTGGGCGCAGCAAGGAGGAGGACAAGGCGGTGATGCGCCCGCGCATCAAGGAGGGACAGAGCAACAAGATCGGGGCGGCGCACGCCAAGGACATGGTGGAGGCCATGGGGGCGCTTACGGTGGGTGGCGTCAACAAGGCGGCGATCGGGGCGGCGCTCGGCAAGGACAAGGTGGAGGCTCAAAGCAACAAGGCGGCGAGTGGTGGGCGCAGCAAGGGTCAGAGCAACAAGGCGGTGATGCGGCCGCACATCAAGGAGGAGGGACCGAGCAACAAGATCGGGGCGGCGCACGCCAAGGACATGGTGGAGGCTCAGATCGTCACGGAGGCCATGGGGGCGGTGGGTGGCGTCAACAAGGCGGCGACGCTCGGCAAGGACAAGGTGGAGGCTCAAAGCAACAAGGCGGCGAGTGGTGGGATCAACAAGGCGGTGATGCGGCCGCGCAGCAAGGAGGAGGGTCAGAGCAAGAAGATCGGGGCGGCGCACGCCAAGGACAAGCTGGAGGCTCAGATCTTCACGGAGGCCATGAGGGCGCGTGGCAAGAAAAAGATGGGTGGCGTCAACAAGGCGGAGGCTCAGAGCGTCAACAAGGCGGCGAGTGGGGCGCGCAACAAGAGCAGCGTTAATATTGGAAATGAATCATAGGTGTTTTCCGTGTTGGTCCAAGGTGAAAACACGATTGATGGCCTGATTTGTGGTTTACCATACTCATGTGACTCAGGGTGCCACACAATTAAGTTCTAAGTTTGATCTCGCATGTAAGCCACCAATTGTTTTTATGTAGGGGAATAACTAGTTTCCATGAATTTTCAGAGTTAGTCTATGTTTTCAACAAATGTGTGAACCATTTTTGCGGTTTACCCGGACCCGACCAGCGTCTGCAGGACACGATGCGCAAGCGCTGGGTGGACGCGGTGGCGGTGGAGCACAAGGATTAAAACACATGTACTTTTAACCACGTGCGTGGGTGACCCAGCCGTTTGCGAAATATACGCGAGTTGGATTGTTTATGTCACACGTTCCACGCTTTTGGCTTGAGCTTCTTTCAACAGTAAGTATTGTCGGCCATGGTGCGGTTTACCCCTGACTCAGCCTTTGCAGGATGAGAGCACGGCGCGCAAAGCGGCTCGCGTGGTTGGTGCGGGCCGATCTGGTGCTGAGGCGCGCTTCCTTACAGCAAACTGAAGTTGCGCCACTCACTTCATAGTGTTGTTGAGCTGGCAAGATTCTCTAGTCAGGCAACATGTTTAACATCCATCAATTTTTGGATTGGCTAAAGTGTTCAAACGTAACGCCGGCCACGTTAGCCCTTGCAGGACAGGAGCGCGACACGCAAGCGCAAGGCGGAGAACAAGGCGCTCTATCATGCGAGACCAACATGTGTTCATTGGTTCGTTTCGTTTTTCTGTGTCGGTAAAAGTTTGTCAGCCAAACATTGCGCAGTTTGGGGCCAATCCTCTTGCGTGGTTTGCAAAAGGTGTTGCAGCCAGGTAAGTATACCGAGGTGCGCCCAACACGTGTTTTTCCTGCAAGCCAATTCTTAAGTGTGACCCAGTTCGTACTTCCGGGT